AGGGGTTGAGTCTGCACCCGCTGCCTTTGAGCAGCCAGCCTGTGGAGGAGTGGTGGGTGCCGTGGGGTCCTGGGGTTCCGGAAGCCTCCAGGCTGCTCATCCTTCTGAGGAAGCAGAATCCATGACTTGCCCCCTGGCGCCCGTTCCTCTGGCCTTGACCTGTCTGTGCTCACAGTCACAGGCCGGCGGGAGCCCCTTGGCCTCTTGTACATGTGGCTGCCGCCACCCAGGGAAGCAAGTGGCCTGCTCAGGGCACATCTTTGGAAGTGACTGGGTTGGCAGCTGGTGCAGCCACTGGTGGCTCCTCAGGACTGCTCTTCCGGGCTCCACTGAGCAGCACCGACTGTCCCTTCCTGGTTCTGTGCCTTGTCCCTGCTGCTGTGTCTCTGCATCTTGAGGTGGTCCCTGTCCCCCTCTGGGCCCCGTCTGTCAGCTGAGGAGGCGGTGAGAGACCCTGTTCTGACCTCTGACCACGTATCGTTACAGGGTGCAGAGGAGCCATCAGCAAAACCCTGGGCCTGTCTGCTGAAGGACAAGGGAGAGACGCTGACACCAGAGGTCAGTGGAAGACAGAGATGAATAGCTCAGTCCACGCACGCGCGCACACACATGGACAGCACACAGGCGCCGAAGCGCTCTTCACGTGGCCCTCTGCAAGGCCACTGTGTGTGGCCCAGAGAAGCCACTCCGCATGGGGTCTTGCCCTTTCACAGAGGCTGAGGTGGGGGTGCAGTTGCTTACCCCAAGGAGAAGCTGAGGCTCACTCATTTGAAGCCTGCTGTTTCAAATTCCTCGTTAAGTTTCTGTTTTCTGACAAGAGCACCCCAAACCAGATCTTAGTGCCCTGAATAGATAAACGATACCTGGATCAGCCCGTCACTGTGGCCAAGATCAGCAGACAGTGGCGAGCCATTAAGATTCCCAGAGATGTCTTTGTTAGACTGTGTGCCGGCCCAAGCAAACAAAGCACAAATAAGGGGATTGTAGAGAGGAATGAAGGGGCCTTGGTGGCATAACGGTTATGATCTGGGCTGCGATCCCCAAGGTCAGCAGTTCGAAACCACCAGCCGCTCCAAGGGAGAAAGGCAGGGCTTTCAACTCATATAAACAGTTCCAGTCTTGGAAACCCTCAGGGGCAGTTCCACTCTGTCCTATAGGGTCACGATGAGTCAGCATCCACTCGATGGCGGTGAGTGAGTAAGAGAGGAATGACAATAAAAGCCACCAATGGGCAGGTGAGTGTCAGGCTGTGGGATGCTGGCCGCCTCCCTCTGTCAGGGCAATTGAGAAGGCCTCTCCTGCGGTATCTCCTTTGAGCTGAGACCCGCCTGTTCAGGAGGAGATAGCCGGCAGCAGGGAGCAACATTCCAGGCAGCAGGAACAGCCAGTGCAAAAGCTGTGAAGAATGAATTAACTGGCATGGTTAAGGAGGAGGAAGAAGCTTGGCACGTGGCGGGGAGGAGACAGAAGGGAGGGGAGTGTGGGGAAGGAAGGGGAAAGAAGGAAAGAATGTAGAGGGGCAGTGGGGCGAGAGGGGTGGGGGGAAGGGAAGGAGAAAGGTGGACGACAGGGAGGGGAAGGGATTGGGACTGTCCAAGTGGAGGTAGCCTGTGGACAGAGCAACACTGTGGGAGTTTTCTTTGCGTCTCGTCCTGAACTCATGCTTTTGTTCCCGGTGCTATTACTGGGCCAGCCCCGTGCTTCTGGCAAGCCTGCAACACTGCCCACTCCGTGGTGCTGAGTTCGGATGATCTCAGACAACTCAGACAGAACATTTGCAAAGAGAGGACAGAGCCCATCTCTCGTTTTGAAAGCTGGGAGGTGGAAGACAGAAAGGGCCTAGTGATGTCACCTGGATTCTGGGCAGACCCGGGTTACATCGTCCTAACACAGAGAAGGGGTGCAATTGAGATGGTGAAATACTTTGTTAAGGGGAAGTTTTTAACAGTGCATCAAAGCCAACTGCAGCCTAGGGCCTCCCAAACCACACAGAACAGAGGGCCTGTCTTTTGGCCAAGATGGAGAGGGGAGGGAGGGATTCTTGAGCTGATGGGCCCAGGCTGGCACTGTTCCCTCAGCCTGCTTTCCCGCAGCGAGCTGATGCTCTGCTGTGTGCGGCTCCCTGGCCAGGACTCCGCCTTGGCTGGGATCGGGGCATTGCTTGGACAGCTGTTTAATAAGCATGTCCATCTTCAGCTGCCTCCCACGGTGACCACCAAGCAGGAGCTGACCACCAAGCAGGAGCTGGGACTGGAGTCCTCCAGGGCAGCAGGAGGAGCTAGCGAGGCCAGTGAAGCCATGGCAAGCAGGTATGGAGTAAGACTGACTTCCCAACCCACCAGTCAAAGCACTGCAGCCCCATGCCACTTCTGAACCACTGTTCAGCTCTGCCTTTCCTGAGCTGCTGCGGCCTGTTTTAAATGCCCCGCTGGACAGTAGCACCCGCCTCACTCCTCCAGGGTTAAAGTGGTTAAAGTGCAAATTTGGCTTCATTTCCCTCAAGAAGTTGGATTTTGCTTGTTCAGCCCAGTTATCACCTGTGTAAAATGCTACCCTGCTCAAAGGTTTCCACAGGACTACCCTACATGATGGCAGGGGGAGAAATGGAGCTTGATCCCAGGGGTCAGGAGCGCAGAGGGACAAAGCAGCCACAGGGCCACCATGTCCTCTGGTGTCCCCTTTTCTCTGTGACAAGTTTGTCAAAAAGTGTGTCTGTTAACATACAGCTACCTTGTTGGTTTTAGCAAGATAGTCTTTCTCCAACCTTCAGGCAGCACGAGTGCTTCAGAAAGAAGGACTGCGTGGAGCCTGTCGCTCCAAGCCTGCCATGGTCCCCGCCATGCTACTGGGCAGAACTATGCCCAGGGTATGCCATGCCAAGTGCCTGGCTGAGGGGCGCAAGGAGCTGAAACCCAGCCTGACACCGGACCTTCCTCTCCCCGGCCCAAGTCAAGTCATGGGCCCCCGGGTCTGCTTCCACCCAGAGGGACTTCTTTCTCTCATTTGCTCAAAGACCGATGAGGTGGAAGACAGCCCCATGCATCCTTCTCAGAGCCTGCAGACCTCCAAGCAGAGATGAGAACGGGCGCTTCCCCCTGCGTGGGAGAAGCCTGGGCCAGGAGGTAGGGATGTACTTGCAGGAGTGATGAACTGCTTCCTTCCTCACCATCAAGCTGCTCTGTGCCAGGGACCAGGGTGGCATAGCCTCGACAGCACACATGGGGCCCCTTTGCAAATGACCCGGACCCAGTCACCGAGCCTGGAGCATCTGTCCTCGGGAACTGGAGGTGCATAGATCTGCACACAGGGGTTGTCAGGCTGCCTGTGAAGGGTCAGACAACACAGGTCCCGTTGACGTCATCATCGTGGTCTGCAATGAAGTCGGCCCCGACGCTTGACGACCCATCCCCAGAGGGACAGAATGCTGCCTGTTCCCACGCCAGCCCATCATCAGTGGAGATCAGACCACCGTGCACCATTGGGTCTGCGTCAGCCGAGTTTGGGGCGTGGATCACCAGGCCTTTCCTCCTAGTCTCTCTCAGTCTGGAAGCACTGCTAAAACTGTGCAGCATCCCAGCAGCGTGCACACCTCCCTGGGCAGATGGCTGGTGGTGGTGCATGAGGCGCCCTGCTCAGGAATTAAACCCGGGTCTCCCACACGGGAGGCCAGAACCCTCGAACCACCATCGCCGGCAAATACTTTAGGCTTTGCTTTTCCGAATGAAATGGAACAGAACAATGCGTAGCTTACAGGCCGTACAGAAAGCAGGCAGTGGGCCAGGTGTGACGAGGTGGCGTGGTTTGGTGGTTTGCTGAGCGCTGTTCTAACCTCTTACGAGTTCCAGCGGCTTGAGTAGGTCCGCTGGCAGCCTCTCCCAAGCAGGGTTTCTCCTGCTGTGACTCAGCTCTCACTGCACAGGGCCCTCAAAGGGTGGGAAGCAGTGGTCTGAGTGCTCCCTGGAGCTGTCTGCAGGCACAGCTTCCTTCTCCCACTGCACCTGCTCTTTGCAGTTGACCAGAACACAGTGTGGCACCCAGGGGTGGGGGGAATCTTGCAAGGATCATTTGTTAACACATGCCAACTGAAGCCAAGTCCCATTTCAGACCACAGGAGAAGCTTCCGAAACCCCTCCAGGCCACGGAAAGTGACTCTGTCCACCCCAGCCTGGATCCACTGCCCAAGGAGCGAGCTCCGGACCCGGAGGTGAGATTCATCGCTCTTGTGGGGGTTTCCAAGGACATCAAGGCTCAGGGCTGGAAGGTGGGGCTGGAAGGGTGCTGGGACCCACTGTTTGGGTTCCACAGGCCTTGCTTTAAGGGCAGGAACCTTCGCATCTTCCTGCCCTGTGCCCAGAGCAGGAGAAGTGGGGAGAGAAGTCCCAGCAGCCCAGGGCAGTCTGCCCCACAGAGGCAGTGTAAAATAGCCTACACACCCAAAGGAAAAACGCTCAGCTTCCCTGTAATTTAAAAAAATGCAAATTGGGCTGACCTTAATGTTCCATTTGATAGGGGAGTTAACAGAGTCTTCTTAACGATAGCATCTCATCCTGGCACGGCTCCAGTGAAGTGCCATGCCATCCCTGACTGGCGACAGAGCCACTTGAAGGGGCTCTCGTAAGAGGCAGAGCCAGAGCGGCTGAGCTTGACAAGAGTCATTGAGTCTGAAATGGCTCAAATCCCAACGCCCTGCCGCTGAGCCGCTTCCCGCTCACAGCCGCCCTCTAGGCCGAGAAGACCGGCCCCGGTGGGTTTCCAAGGCCGTGGATCTTTCTGGGACTAGAAAGCCTCATTTTTCTCCCATGGAGCAGCTGGTAGTTTCGAACTGCTAACCTTGTGGTTAGCAGCTCAGTGCATGATCCACTGTGCCACCGGGACTGGCTGCCAACCCAGTAATCCCACTTCCTTATTCTTAAACCGGGGCTTGTGTGGGAGACTCACCAGATAGCAAAAGCTTTAGGCACAAATGAGTCCACAGCACCCTCACTGGGAGGAGGCAAAAAAAAAAAAAAGAAAACCACAGAAATTGCCTCAATATTCCCTCTTCGTGGAATGAGTCAGGAGAGTGTCCGCACATGCAGTGAGGTCAAAGGTGGCACAGCTCCTCCTGGAGGTTTTGCAGAGAGCAAATGTCCAGGCGCTAAAGGCGGCTGCATTTGGCACAGTTCTCCAAGTCCCCCGTGGTGGACGTGACCCAGCGGTGAAGCCTGTCGATGGAGCCAGAGCCGCCTGTGCCGAGGGAGCAGGCAGTGGGACAGAAGAGGGATCCTTTCTCCTTTCGTGCTGAAAGATGTGTACCAGTATATGCTCGTCCCCCCTTCCTCTGCCCAAGCCTTTGTTGAAATGACGTGATGCAGTGGTGTCACCACCCGATGGCCGGCCAGTGAGGACCTCGTCTGAAGCCACACCTGGCAAGCAGATGATAGCCTGGACCTGGACAAGAGGGCGGCTGTCCATCTGCAGCCATGAAGGGAGGTTGCTCTTAGACAAGTTCCATGGGCTCCCTGGCATCTGTGCCTGACACAGAGGCCAAAAGACACAGCCACCCAGAGGACTGGATGGCAAAGGTGTGCGAAGGGCGTGGCTTGGTGCCCGGCACACGGCCGGGAGTACCTGGGACAGTCAGTTCGTTCTCCTCTGCACAGGACAGCTGCTTTCTGGCTGTGACGGTGCCGGATGCTGAAACTTCAGTCCTATTTAAAAGAGCCTGAATTAATTAAGGCTCTCTATTACAGGGCCTGGGGAAGGGTCATAAAATTTTCACAGAATGACAACCAAGAGAACGGACAGACTGTTGTCGCTGAAAACACCACAGTTCTGAATCCGGCAGCTCAACCTGCTTCCTTTTATTCCATGTCCCTCCACAGGTCGGCTGCATCCTTGGGCTCCGTCCCCACCCCCAGCGCCATCTCCTTGGGGCTATCTGCCCTCACGATCTCAGGTAGCTAGGGTGGTCCCAGCTGGGCACCCTCACCGTCATTCCTAGTGTCCGGAGAAGAGGAGTGGGCTTGCAGAGTTGACCTGAGCCCCTCACCGAGCCACTCTGTCTCTGTCTCTGTGGCCAAGGCCAGTCCGCTCCTCTTGGAGTTAAGGGGAGGAGTCCATCTCCCTGTTCTTCAGGGCTGCAAAGCATGGAGGGGACTTTCCCAGGGTTAATCCAATGATGCTGGGGCCGGGGGTTGGGGGGCCATAGTCTGTGTCAGGGACCAGGGAGCTTCCCACCCAGGGCTCACACCAGGCCACTGAGAAGTCTCCTGAATCAAGTGCTGGAGAAAGCAGGGGTAGACCCCACGCTGCCGAGGGATGGACAAGGGGTGACGCTTTCCTCACCAGCTGGCCCTGAGGCAGCGTCTTCATTTAGAAGGGCGCTGCAGGAGTTTACACCTCGTAGATGGCATTGAGCTCTGTACCCAGCAGCCCCTCTGCCCGGCAGCTCGCCTCCCACCTGGTCCTCCAGCCCCCGCCAGCAAACAGCTTGAGCAGCAGCACCGCTGCTTTCTTGCCCCTGCCAGACCTTGCTGCTCGCAGGTACCATCTCAGTAGCCCCCAGGCCTCCCGCCATCCCCATGCCAGCTAGGCCACTTTAGGTCGATCACTATCCTGTCAGGCTGGGACTGAGGCCCAGGGCAGCAGAAGGCTTGGCAGCACCCTGCCTGGTGGCAGTGGAGGGCGAAGCTGTGGGCCCTGCAAGCTGAGCTCATAAAGACAGGCCCGTGCTGACCTCCCTCCCCAGCCCCACCACATGGTGCCCCAGGCTCCTCCAGATACACCGAGCCCAGTAGCACGTGTGGCTGGCTATTAATTAAAAAATAAGTTGGGAATAGTTGCCATTCATTTGCTCAGCTCTCTGCCCGCAGAAGCAGTGCAGATTACCAGCCCTAATTAACAGAGGGCACATGCACGCAGGGAAGGCACTGTTCCTGAGTGACAGATCCCTGGCAACGGGTGCTGCAGTCCCGGGCCCAGAGGGGCCCCAGGAAGTCAGTCTGCAGTGTCGCTGCTTATTGATGGCATGCACGCAGACGCTCAGGCCAGACAGCCTGCCTGAGAATTAAAATCAATGGTGGGGAGAATCACAGCAGGGAGCGAGCGGGGCCTTCCCAGTCTCTGTGACACTGTCATCTGTCATCCTGGTTTCCCCAGCCAGGCGCAGGCTGCGTGGGAAGTGACTTGTCCAAGCTAACAGGGCCTCACTTGGCCTCCACCCGAGCAGACATCACGGCGTGGCTGCAGGCGAGGACTGTGGGGCTGTGGCAGAGAAGGGCAAGTCCGGCCCAACCTGTGCTTTTTCCAACCTTCTCACTGGTTTGAAAGCACTTACTGAGGTCTCACTCGGAGGAACTGCGTTTTATTTTATTTTACTGTTTCCTTTGAATCGCTGTGTCGGCATAAACTTCCCACATCACATAATCCAATTCATTCACTCAGGTTAGGAAGAGTTGTGCGATCGTCACCACAATCCGCTGCAAAACATTCTCTACTGCATCGTGCCCATTGTGGTTGGCTCTCCATTTCTCCCCAGCCTCCCCTGCCGTGCCCCTGGTGGTGCTGGTGGGTGTCATCACGTCAGCTCCCACCCACGGTGACCCCTATGCACAGCAGAATGGAGGGACCCCAGGAAGCCGGTCCGCAGTGCTGGTCCTGCCTGGTCCCGTGCCATCCTCCCACGTTCCTCTGCCGGAGCCCATTGTCGCCGCCCCTGTGTCAGTCCTCCTCCTTGACGGCCTCCCTCCCCCAAGCGTGGCGCTTTCTCCAGGGACTGGTCTCCCCGACAACATGTCCAAAGGACCTGAGACAAAGTCTCTCCATCCTTGCCTCTCAGGAGCAGACTGGCCGTACTTCTTCCGAGACAGATTTGTTGGTTCTTTTGGCCGTCCATGGTACTTTAAATATTCTTCACCAAACCCTGCCCCTAGCTAATCATTCATCTAGGTCCTGCCTGTCTAGATTTACCTGCCTTGGATTTCATATTCAGAGACTCATGCAAAACAGACGGGAAGGAAAGCAGCAAACCAACGCACAACCCAAGCCAACAACTACAATGTTGCAAAGCAAAGAAACCCCTCAGAAAGAAAGCAGGAAGCATTAAAAACTGAAACAATTTAAAATGGGTCAAAAGGGAGATTACATGACAAGGTATTCCGTCTTCACCTAATGACACCTGCCACAATCGGCTCTATGCTCTCTGTCTGGCAGCAAGGCTGCTCACATCCTCAGTCAGACTCTGCTCAGAGGGGAGTCACCAGAGACTTCATCCATGTGGGGGTGCTACTAATGGACACTGCGCCCCCCCCTGCCATCCATATCTTTCTGCAAACTGGGCAAACATTTTCTAGACAAGCGCTTGTTCGTCAGTTGCAGGCACCCTTTGTGCCAAATGGGGAGCAGGGGTGCTGGCTGAGGCGAGGGCTGACGTGAACCCTCCGTGTTCTCATCCCCTGGTGCTCTTTCTCTCTCCTTTAGGACCCGCCGCGGGTGAAAATGGAAGAGGTCAAGGACGCCATCGATGTGACGCTGGAAATCCTGTCCAACTGGGGCAGTGCGGCATGTGTGGGGCTCACGGAAGTCGAGTTCTTTGACCTGAACAGCACCAAGCTTTACATCTCGCCCCAGGATGTGGACATCCAGAGCGCGGGCAAACCTGGTGACCTGGGCCACCTCGTCAACCGGAACTTATCTGTGAGTGGAAAGCTACTACGCTGTTTCTTTGTGGGTGTTTCAGTGCATATTCTCTGCCCACAGTATGTCTGCAGTAAGGGTGTCTGGTGCTAGGAGAGGTGGAGAGAGAGAGAGAGAGAGCGCGTGCGAGCGAGCGAGCGCGCAGGAAAGAAGAAGCCAATCCACCCCCTTTTATGTAAAAGTCAACATGAAACAGAAAGTCTTGTGTGGTGGGAGTGTCATTGAGTCTAACACCCTTGGTTATGAATTGACTTGGCCAAGGTCACCAAGCTGGAAAATGGCTGGGCCAAGGTCACACCCTGTGCTGACCCAAAGCTTGTGCCACAACCCCTCCGAGTCCTGCTGTCTTGGGCACAAAACACCTGGATGGAAGTGGCTTTAAATGTTCACCAGAGTTTGTAAGAAGACATTGGTTGCAGTGGATCCAGGATGGCGGACTAGGCGCATGCGCTGCCCAGACGTCTACGACAAAGACCCAAGAAACCAAGTGAAACAGATACAACGAC